GACTACGGTCCAACCACCGCCTTGTGTGCGACTGATTCCCTCATACAGCGTGCTTGTATTTGCCTGTGAAGGAGAGTGGGCCGGCTTCGTTGATGAAACGTGGCTCCCATCCACATGCCTCCCGGTCTTATTCCTTTGGGTTTACACTGGATATGGTGTGCGTGGTTGGAGCTGTGGGTGGTGCAGCGCAAGCCACCCATGGTCCCACTGTAGGCGCAGGCGTTCTGTGGCTGACCACAGTGACAGGTAAATCCGAAGCCGGATGCCGCGAATCATGTGTTAATGAGCATAGTGAGTGAACTTGTGAAGTGTGACTGAATTCGTGAGTTTGTTTGCTGTGTTCGCCATCGTATGAAGGGATAAAAGTAACTTTTCGAACTGGATGACGTTCATTAGCCATGAGGTCCTCCTTCACAAACTCAGGATGTGCGGTGTCAGTGTCTCACTGCACCGGTGGATCCGCGACTTTCGTGTTGGGAGAATGTGGAGGGTACAGGTCGACGACCATCTAAGCGACTGGTATGCCTCTACAAGTGGCGTGCCTCAAGGTACTGTGTGGAGGTCCACTCTGTTCCTAATCCACATCAATGATCCACCTCAGCTTCTCCGGTCGCCGTGTGCCTTGTTTGCGGATGACATGTAGATTTGGAGATAAATTGACGCTCCCGACGACTGTGGCGTACTTCAGCAAGACCACACCCGCCTATCCACATAGACTGCAGAAGTTCATCTCCCGGTCAACCCAGCCAACTCTGTATTTATGAGTCTGGGAAAGGGTGTTGACGTCCGAAACTACACCCTTGACGGCCAACCGCTGTATCCAACACGTTCCGTGAAGGACCTAGCTGTACTCTCGTGCTACGATTCGAAGTCCGTGGACAACACGAACAGGCTATATCGTAATGGACTGCGCATGCTTTGCTCGCTCAAACGTAGCTTCGGCATATGGTCTGAAGAGGTTGCCACTTGCCTCTTCTCCTCCATCATTAGAGTAATGCTAGAGTACGGTTCGCCCACCTACTTTCCGATCACCCAAGGCGAGGGACAAAAGATCGAACGAGTCTAACCCGCTGTTACGAGGCTCATCCCGAGTTTCCGTGGCTTGGGGTACGAGGACCGGTGCGAGAAACTAGGACTCTACACCTATCGTCGGGTGCGAGTCGACCTCACTATGACCTACCGTATGCTACATCTCGGTGACATCAAATGCTGAGGCCAATGCTGCACTTACGAGGGCCATGAAGCGCACGCGGACACAGATACAAACTTGTCGTGCAGGATGTGAAATGTGTTCCCCACCCACTGTGCTTCGAACGGAGAGTGGTAAATATTTGGAACAGTTTTCCTGAACATGTGATTGAGGCAATATCTGTGCAGCAGTTCAAAAGGTTGTTAGATTTGTATTTTACCATTATTCGATTCAGAGAACGATTGTACACATACGATGACATATCATATTTGTGAGTCCTGTAATACCGTGAGTCAGATACTTTAAATGTTACATGGGAACGATAACGATATTCACGACTGACAACTTTTAGAACGTTTTCTACCATATTTCGAAAGAGTTAGACAAAGTTAATTTCTACTTGCTCTATAATACAGTATATACCATATATATATATATACATATATATATATATGTATATGTATATATATATATATATAGCAGGAGAGACTATGGTGTGCTGAAGCTGGTGGTGGCTGCATCCCGACAGATAGTCTACCCACTGCTGCTACTGTTGTGCCATGGGCTCATGTCCTGGACGCCTCCTCGTGGCGACAGCTGGGTGGGAGTTGGGTTACGCCCTTCACCCTGCTAAGATCCAGGACACCAAACTGCATGAGTCAGTGAACTGACCATTTGCTAGACCCGATGCCTTTCGGGTGTACATTTAATCGAAGGCTTTGGCTGAGGACCCGAGTCCTTCTCCTGTCAGGTATGGGCACCCTGCCAATATCTCAGCCCATCCTCTTCGGAGGTTAGGAAGTGGTCGATGGCCCTCTTCCCGTAAAACCTAGCCATGGGAGACAACAGGTCTACGGGTTATAAGCTCATAGCTTGATTGGCGTAGAGTATGAGCGTCACGCATTGTCTCTGACGGTGAGAGGGCACCTCCGGGTGTTCCATGGTTTGCTACTGCCCACCTCAAGCCAGGCAGCCCCTGGTCAAATTGGTGCAAACCCACCAAAACCCACCTGCGTCTGGCCGTGGTCGCAGGTGCGTATCCTACTACGGTCCCTCCACCCAATGCTCAATGATTGTCCCTCGTGTGACCACGAAGAGAATTTACCAGGGGAAAATTCGTGGCAAGTGAAGAAGCCCGGCAATGAATGATGACAGTGAGCATAGCTTTATTTCCCGTTGTTCATCAGCCATACTGAAGTTGCCGGGGCTTGTGAAAATGCAACTACCAAGCGGATTGAAGACGGAAGTGTAGAGACGCTAAGCAGAAGTTGATTTGGACATGGGCAATCTGCTGGATAGGCTAAAAAAAGGTAATGCCAATGCTAATGCTAAGTCAGTGTCAATATATTATATCGGAAATAAATCGACGAAATAAATCGACAAACATTTTAGGAGCACTTAATGGCTGCACCCGAGACGTACGATGGAGATCGTTACCAAATAGCTTATGGCCATAGCAGAGTACACTGTGAAGGTATGAACGGTTGAGTACTTGGATGAAAGCTAGGTTACGTCCTGAACATTTGCAAAACAGTGCGCACACTGTTTAGAAAGCCGCACGTTTGACAGCGAGTAGCGGGACTTAGCTGATGTAGAATGGCGGTAGTTGTCTTTCCAATGGCGAATATGTGGTACTGACAGCTGTCAATGCTTAAGGTTGCGCAACAATCGTACGTCGGGCAGCAGATGACCGATCGGCGACACGGAGTCATTTAAGTGAACACCCAATCGCATTCGCACGCTGCGCGATCTCCCACATTAGCTACGCAAACCAGACTGTGCACATAGGAAGCGACACTTAAGCGCACAATATTTTACCGTATCACTAGTTCATTAATCAATCTACCTGGTAACCGTACTGATGGCAATTGCGTACCCATTCCTACATCGGTTTCGTTCAAAGATGGATGCCCAAAATTAAAGCCTGCCACGTCTAAATGTCAAAGAAAATACCAACAATTCGTTTTGGATACGTATGCTCATGCCTGTGCAGTTGGCTGTTAGCCTAAACACCAAACGATACCCATACATGTTGTTAGTAATATTGTTCATGAGGTCTAATGTGTCTATATCCAGTTTGTGGCAGTTCATATTTAAGTCTGGACAAGTGCATGTGCATGTGTTGCATTCGAACTGCCATTGGACACGGATGACGCCGGATGTACACCGAATGAATTCGACGAGGATACTCACACCGCTTTTGTACGGTCAACTTAGTGCAGGAATGCGTCACTGGAGCAAACCGAAAAGAACATTACCAGGACATGGACAAGGTGAGTTTATGACAAACTCATGTTGATTTCAGGTGCTGCGAATCCAAAGCAAATTTGATCGATGCGAACTCCGTGGACCGACCAAAAGGGCGGTTGCCCAGGTGCCGGAGAAGGCGCTATTGCACGCGCAAGAGAAGCACGATGCGTACGCTCCCATTCGATTTAATAATCCAAGCGAATAAGGCGGCGTATGTGGTACGTTTGCCTGCGTGATGAGTAATCTTGCATTTCAGAAGTAGATGTTGTCTGAGCTCCCCGATGTGGCTGCACCTGATGTGAGTGTTGACAAGGTACCTACCTGTCTGACACCCTCCACTTCGATTGCTGGCTCCCGGAGACAGTTGGTCGTTGCTGGAGGAGACGGGGTGCACCGTCCTCGTGACGGTGCTAGGTCCAAAGAGTGGTTCCATCCTGTGTGGAACATGTTACGGTTCAGCCATCGCCTTGGGCACGTCTAGTGTGCATGTTTTCCCAATTAGGCCGGAATGCTTCTGTTCTGTATGCCGAAGGAGTGTGTGTCGGCTCCGTTGATGAAACGTGGCTCTTATAAACAGGCTTCACGGTCTTATTCCTTCGGGGTTTACACTGGATATGGGGTGTGTGGGTGCAGCACAAGCCATCCATGGTCCCCTTTGTGGGCGCACGCGTCCTGTGGCTGTCACCATGGAGGCCACAGTGACAGGCGAATCCGGATACCGATGTCGCGATATATATATATATATATATATATATATATATATATATATAACGAAAACATCAACTTCGGTTAATTGAATAAAATAGTTTCTCTACGATGCAAATAAAACATCATGGAGGCGCATGATTTTGACCGTATACCATCGTCTTGAATCATTTCACCAGAGGCAAGTTTGAGTAAGACAACGGATGGAAAACAAGAGTTCTATCTCTTGTCATCCGACACAATCACTGGTACTCATACGCCATGCCATCGCAAACGGTTGTCATAAATAAACGAGTTTCGTGGGAAGAGTATGATTGACTCATACCGTTGACAAGTCCCGCTATGAGTTGTCCTGAAAGCCGGAGGTATGTAAACCACGTTCGGGTCAGGCTTCAAGTTTCGCTCAAAGCGGAGCAATCGTGTCCCAAAAGTAGCAAAATGCTGTCAAACACCAGACAAAATGTGATCGATTAGGAACACACAGGAGAGGTTGAGTCTTAAAGGTGTAGGGGAGTATGCTGCAATAAAGTTTCGGGGTTACCTCCAGCATACCAATTAGGTGATCGTTAACTGCTCATTAAGTAGTGCCTGTGCAAGCTGGGCGCAAGTAAAAATATACATGCTACTAAGAAAGATCTAGACTGCGGGAAATTCGCACTCTATGGGAGAATGACCGTAGGAAATCCAGTGAAAAAGGGAATGTGGAAAGGATAACACCACTAATGATGGGGCAGGCCAGAAGCTTGTCAGGCACTTTACAGGTAGATGATGATAATAATAATAATACGAATAATAATACGAATAATAATCATAATCATAATAACGGATCCTGATAATTCGGGTGCTGCTGACTTACGAGACTTTTATCATCATCCTTGAGTGAACGCTGGTGTTCAATCGGTTCCAAAGGGTCGGTCGCGCGGGGAAGACGTCGAACTCCGCGGGCGTACATCGCCTTGACGGCAGGTGGGACCTTGAGAAAGAAAAGTCTCGGAATAGACAATATCCTTCATACCGGTGTACTATCGACTTAAGCGGGCAAAAGAGTTCTGCTCATTTGGACAACAATCAGAGCGAAGTAAGGATTGTGAATTCGACAAACACCTAAAAATGTCACATGAGACGGTCGATCAAGCTCCACTGTTCGTTCTAGGACGATAGAAAGAATGTCAAGATAACATGACAAAGTAATTAGAACCAAAGCTCTCAGAATACACTCAGAATACACTGGGAAACATTGAAAAGTGCATGTTGGATGCAGGCAACCGCGGACTGACACTTCATTATATACCACGTTCAATTCGAACTGGATGATCTACAAATCAACTAAGACGTTTCTTTAACCAAAGCGCCCGGGGTTCAAGCTACATTGAGGCCAGGCTAAGAAAACCCGGATTGTGTAAACGGAGAGGGCTAATGCGAGCTCCTCTCTTGTCATGACCGTGAGTTCACTTGATCGATCCAAGACCCAGTTGCCGCACATCACCAGATCGGCTTTCATGTATTGTGTTTTTCTGCAGAGACACACCTACCACCATCAACTGGAAAGTCGGATTGACGAGCCATGAAGTTTACTAGGACTCAACCAATCCTAGCCTACTGCTTCAAGAAAAAAGTAAATATCGGCAAAAAAGTAGCAGGCGGTACGCCTGCGAGGTAGCGACACGGCAAGCGAATGTCCTTAGCGCAAAAAGAGATCCTTATCAAGATTGCGTTCGTCGACAGGAAAACCACCCATGAGGCTGCATCAGTCATGGATGTCGGCGAAAGCAAGGCAAGAAACGTCATCAGTGCCGACAGAGAAGGAAGAAATAACAGCGAGAAACTGATAATTTGAAGGAAGAGATTTCGGTGCGGATACAGTGGCAGCTGAAGGAGAATGAGATCTACCTGTCCATATCTGCGACTCTCAACGCCTCATGAGCCTCGACCGCATCAACAGCCCCACGATGATCGCAACTGGCAGACCTATGCTCTCAACTTCTCGACCGGTGACTTACCTTGTAATCCAGAGGCCACCAGTTCGAGTCCTCGCGGTATACCAAGCCAACGCACAACCGATGGTACCGTGTGGCAGCAAAGCGTCAATACGGAGTGTCGGCGTACTGCTGATGCCTTCCTCATCCTCCTACATGCACCATGGTAAAAGGAGAAGCGAGTCCAACTTTCACCTGCGATGGCTGCAAAACCCCTCAAGAATAGGAGCGCGAGCAAAGGCTATCTTGTCCACAAATAGAGACCGCATGATAACGATAATGTACGCCATTAATAACTATGGCACGGTTAACTCAAAGATTATCAACGATGACAATTGCAGTGACACAAAGTTCTTCATGCTTGTTGAAGATTTGTGACGGGTTTACCTTGTAGAGGGCATGGTAGATCATGGGCATCGCCATAATCCATTTGCTAGACGAGCTAAGGAGAATCCTGTTTTCCTTCTTTCAGTTGATTTTTCGGTCACACTAGATAGAAAACGAGTGTTCCAAGGTCAAGTCGTGATAAAGCGATTACTGACTAATCTGATGCATAACCAGACCTCAAAGCAGGGTCATTCAAGAGAGCGTCGGAATAGTAACGCAGCAAGATCGGACAAATTGCGTCCCCAATAGGACGATGAAGTTGACGGCAACAAGAAGGAGACAGCCATTTATAAACTAACCGTCTCTAAGGCTGGAATTTGTTTTCTTGTTATTAAATCACTGCACAAAAAATAAGCTACGACCCGTTTGATTTGAAGAACGCCTTAGATGGTTTCGAACTTGCCCAGAAAGAGTAGAAAATCACCCTAGTTAGTTTTAAAGATGCCCAGCCTAAAGTGAAGATGGTATGATAGGAGTAAACGAATCCGTGCAGTGGAGAAGTGATGGTTAAACTCGGGATGAATAATGAAAAAGAAAGAAAGGTATCGGCAGTACGCCGCACCAACGCTTCGCTATCACGTGGCTAGTACCAGTTACGAGAAGGCTACGGATGATGCGAGGTAAACGTAGAGTCCGTTTCAGATGGCTGAGATGATGAGGTTTGGGTAGGTGTCACGCGATTGACCAGTTGAGGGGGATGAGGAGGTGGAATGGAGGAAAGTTGCCTTCACGAGAGCCACAGAGGAGCATACCAAACAATAAGTATGTGGGAGACAAAACTCACTGAGACCCGCATTTTGTTACCACCAGTTTGCCATTCGCGAGCCTTCATCGCAGTTGTTTTGGTTATGCGCCACAACCGCCGACCCACAGCGGCATGGGATTCAGACGGAGCTGCGCACAAATCGTCGAACAATGACCCCGTAGCACCCACAATGGATGATATGAGCGCCGACTGCTCAGCGCGGCCACGCTGAACCTTGCGCATGAGCGCTGCAAGGACAGCGGCCTCTTCATCCGGTCCGTATGTCAGCTCATAAGGCGCAACAACTTCCAACGGCGGTGTATCCGGTCGTACAAGTTCTGTATCCTCATCGGCTTGATCGTCTGTCACTTCGTCAATGATCTCAGTAGGTTCCCGCTTCACTTTGACTGTGGGTCTTTTGAACTCACAGATGGGCTGATCGCTCGAGTTCACCTTCATTAGCTCGGACCAGATCCGCATCCGTTCAGTCAGACGAATGGTTCGAACGAGGTAGCGATCGGCAATGTGCTCCACATGGTTCGGGCACATCCATCGATCCGACCGGGGTGGGAAGTTCGGTAACGGCGGATCCAGACAGTCCAGGTGAAAGCACGCAGAACAGTAATCACAAGGCAACAGTGGAGCAAACATGCAAGTCCTGAAATGATGGAGTCAAACGGCAGCCAACTACAGAATTAAAGTGAAAAACGCAGAAGTGGACAGAGAAGGGTGCGACGGTATTCAGTTGTGAAGTTAGATATCGCCAAAAGCGGATGTCCAATAAACAAGGATAGGTTTGCCACACCCGGGGACATTCTTGAATTAAATGAGTGAACAAAGGAGTCTAAACCAAAGTTATTCTCATTACCAGCCAAAAATACGCGACCACGCCAGGTGAGGTAGCTAATCAAATCGGACAGCTAAAACTCACAAGCGTACATGGCAGTCAGGTGGGTGCGTACCTGGAACAAACAAAACACCGCCGAATAGGGCGAGGAATTAGTCCATTTTCCAGCTCAATCACCGTCTTCGCTTTGCGTTCAGCTAGTGTTTTGTAGGAACCTGGGTAAAGTAGGCGAAACAACAACGACAGAGGAAAACGTATTGGTGTAAAATCTACATGTGCAAAATGGGGTGGGGAAATATAGTTAAAGTGATTAAACCGCAACACACGGCAGTAGGGTAGTTCATGCAAATAATGGCAAGGAAATCGTGAGATAAGTCTGTTCGAATCGGATAGGTACTGTAGATAATAAGATAGGATATAGCTGGAAGTCACAAACTGAGGTACAATTGTTGTAAACACTGCACAAGTACCTGTCAAAGCAGTTCACCAAAAAAGTCGTATTCCTAAACGAAGTGATGACTACGGTGAAATACTAAGCAGACGCAGAAGCACAAAGATGAAATAACACGAAGACCAATGCACTACAGTGAACAATTCGGGTAGAGAACACTGACAAGCAGGATAACATACCAGGTAATTTGATACCAGGCATCAAGTCCTTTGGTAAATCAAATTCCTTCGGATTTTGATATTGTGCGTATTTGATTATACTCCACAGTGCGCGCAGCTCTGATTCTTCCGTGTCTGCCACATAGGCGGATTCACCCCAAGCCGCTGAGCGACTGGAACGACCAGCTAGCGCTCGTTCGTTGGTGACCGCGCGCGACACGCAGGCACTGCGTTTTGAGGGCTGATGAGAAAGCTGTCCACTATGACTAGCAGGAGGTCCGGTAGAGGGATGTGACAACTGAGCAGAATCTGATACTTTACGGGAACAGGAACGACCTGTCTTACCCGAGCGACCGGAACCAGTTTCTGTGAGCGCTGTGCTATGACTGCTTGACGAAGATGCTTGATCTTCTTCATCCTGAAGAGGAATAAGAGAAGATACTGATGGCATTATTATCATGTTGCAAGTCAGTAAGGCGTGTGAAACACCGCAGCTTCAACGCCGCAGGAACTTCTGGCAAAAGTAAAATGATAAGTCAAAAACATAGAAAACAAAACTAGGTGTGTGAGCAATAATCCCGAAAACTTCCTTAGGGCGGTTAGGTCCTACACTGGGTCTCCATTAAAAGTCTCCCTCGTTTCTCAGCAGTGAGGTTATCTCACAATGTATGGTTTTAATGCAACGAAGCATAGCATAAAGTATCGATTTCCTTTTTTTTAATAATGGGGTCGATGACGAAGATGAAACGCCACAACCACCGAAAACGTCCGAAGCAAAGACACGGGAGTACCAGTGTGTTATCACGAGCATACTCATACCGGTCATCTAAACGAGAATAGTAATAAAAATAAAAACAGTAACGAGCAACGGCAAAATATTAATACTTTTATCGGTGTATCGCTACGGTATGACTGCATACCACACAACTAGGTGAGTAAAGGGAATAAGGAAAAAAGGACAAGATTTAGTTGCATTAAATGAACATTACGGATCAAAGAACCTCCGCGCGGCATAGCAAAGTCGTACGGGAACAAATCTATGAGGACAATATGGCTTAAATACCGAGTACTGAAGTGTGAAAGCAAGTAGAATTTTGAGTATGTAAACTTCATCGGAATGGGAGCAAAAATGCTATAAAGTGTGTGTTACCTGATAATACTCTAATTGTCCTTCCTAAAATGTCAATCAGTGCACATTTGCTGAGGGTGAGAAACACACCTCAGCTAATGTGCCGCAATGCACAAAGAAAAGATTCCAAAAAAGTACACTACAAAGAATGGAAAAAGCAAGTAATATAATGTTAAATATTAAATTATACAATTCGTAGGAGATCGGAAATGGAGGAAGAATCTAAAGGGAGGGAGTGGACAGAGGAAATCACAACACAAACGCCATTGGGGCCGGCACCTCGCCATATCAACAAGCGTGTTCATCACCCTTGGGACCACAACCAGGTAATGCGGATTGCACCAACCGACGCCAACTTCGAAGCGAGAGCTTTCGTTTCGTCCGACCAAGTCATCGCTTGACCTCCCCCACCCCTCTTCCAATCGCACACCCGGCGCGCAAACAAAGCACGTCGCCGGAGTCGGTGGGCTGCATGCGCAACGCGTGACCCAGCCATCGTAGCCTGGTGCGTGACATAACGATGCTGAGTGGTTCTATCGCTCTTCCTGCATCAAATACGCGACGCCAAACACGCTGTGTTTACGCGATGCTCCCACCAGATTTGAGCTAAGCTTCGAAGACAGCGACGGTCGAAGGTCTGTCGACCTGATTGGCTAGGTTTCATAACTGTATAAGAGAGCGGAACGGACAGCTGCATCAAAAACCCTGTGCTTCACGGCTAAAATGATGTCGCGTCCGCGCTACAGGTGGCGGAGATTCGCAAAATAACCTCGAGCTATTGCTATACGATTCGAAAGCACATCTTCGATCCCACGGGAGCTGATATAGCTGCCCAGGTACTTGAATTCTCGAACGATTACTAGCTAACCACTAACAAGGGTCCGCTCAAGGATGGGTCCCTGCCAATCTTGGAGAAGGACGCTGCAGTCAGATGGAGCAAAGCATAGCCTAAAACGATTGACAGCCAGCGCTAATCGGTCCAGTGTTGTCTGGCACCTTTGAGAGCTGTCACAGATGAGGGCAATGTCGTCCACATACTCCAAGTCGATAAGTCCCTCACCAGGAAGTAGCTCCACACCTTGTAGGTTGCATTAAGCGAAAGATGATTCCATGACTTCGTCAATGGCAAATGTAAAGAGAAAAGGTGACAGCGGACAAGCTTGTTTCATACCGCTGGAGATATTGAAGGGCAGCGACAGTTTGTCATAAACCCTCACCCTGCCCGAACAATGCGCGTAAGAAGCTCTGGTAATGTTTACGTATTTATCGGGCACACCTTTCCTCAGCAAACAGTCCCAACCGAATTAAAGGCACCTTTGATATCGAGAAACACGACTACGGTGGGTTGCCAATAAACATGGTGGTGCTCCAACGATTGACGCAAAAGGAAGATGTTGTCGATACAGCTCCAACCTCGACGAAACCAAGCTTGATAATCACAAAGCTGGCTTTTACAGGTGCGAGTCAGTCAGTGAAGAATGATAGACGCAAGCAATTTAGAGGCAATTAAGATCGGACTGATTCCTCTATGACTGCTGCATTCCCAACGGCAGCCTCCCTTGGAAATTGGGACGATGACGGAGCGGCTCCAGTCTGTCGGGACAATTTCCTGCTCCCAAAGTTTCACCAGAAACTCGTGTAAATCATCTACAAAGGCAGGACCCCCGAATTTGAAGGAGGCTGGGGAATTCCATATGCCCCTGCGGTCTTATACAAGTTCAAAAGTCAGATCTCACGTTCGATTTCTGTGCGTGAGGGCGGATCCACGGGGATAGCCCAGGGAGTAGGGCGATCAATAGCCGATGGAGAAACGGACAACTCTGCTGATTGAATTGCTTCTCAAAGTATTCGACCTAACGCTCCGAGCGTTTTGACAAGCTGTTGATCGGCTGTCCACTCTCGTCGCGTATGGTCTCGCTAACATCAGGTCTTCTATTGCTTGTTTCCCGTATAAGACGGAATAATGTACGATGGTTACCAACAACAACGGCTGTTTCCCTTTCCGGTGCACGATGAGACCACCAGGATACGCGGTCTCTCTTTAGGCTAGCACGCAGTTTCGCCCAGAGATTTTTGCGAGTCTCGTTATATTTGCATCCCGCCGGTGAGCATTCAAAAGTTCCAGAGACTGTATAGAGAATCAATGTCCAGGTTAGCAAATTGATCTGCCACATGAAGACATGCCTGGTGATAGTAATGTTTGATGAATATGCAACCAGTGATCTCCAACGGTGTTCAGTGGGCGCATACTAAATCCGGACGCCAGCATAGTTTGATACGCTTTCAGAAAACTTGGTTTCGCCAGTTGACTCGTGTCTATGCACACACAGCGACGTTGCGGACGTCCGCCGAAACGCACCTGAAGGTCGCATACACAAGAGCGTGACTGGAGTCTGTACTCGTACTCCAAATCGAGCGACAGTTTTAGACGCAGCCTCTCCAGCTGTAACTAATCGCGATGTGATCGATTTGCATCCACGGATGGTGGGCGCCAAATCACTCTACTGTGGGTGCCGTGTTGAAAGTTAGTGTTCGCAAAAAAGAGATGAGCAATTTCACACAGGTGTAGCAACCGCTCACCGTTATCATTACGGGACCCTAAACCGTGTTGGCCGCCCACATGAACATCATCAGAGGACAATTTTCCGATTTGGGCATTTAGATCACCATAAAGCACCACAGTATAGGTATTTTTCTGTAACGAAGGAGATCGTTAAGTTGGGGATAGAATTCACCTTTCATCGATTTAGCGTTGCAGTTTGTGAGGGTGTAAGCAGCAATGACAAACAGGGACCGCTAGTCCCCGCGCGACTTCGAAATCCGGAACGACCTAACCTGTAGCCGGTCCGCGGGCGTCACGGTAACAAGTTAACAGGTAAGAGGTCGATCGGTTTTGCTCCCTGTTATCATTACTCTCATATACCTCTCCGGCACTTTTCCTTTCCTCTCCCGTGCTTCCCTAGCTGCTTCATTTACATCGGCCTCTTACTAGGCGACTCGAGCGTACAGCCGTCTACGAGGAGTTTATTTTGTATTGCAGCTTGTCACACTACTTGGACACGGAAGAGCTCAGAACGCCGGACCGAAGGAATATTACAAACCAACCTAACGGCGCACATCCGGTTGTTGACTGGGATCCAGTCGATCATGGCAGCTTCAGTTCGGGGACTCAAAATAATGCCCACGCCAGCTTGACTTGCATTTGAAACTGCGTCATCGCCAGACAGATGCAAAGAAAATGTGTCTCCAGTGTCACATGTGGGCAATCGCAAGGTAAACACGGAGCTCGAATCTTGCAGGCGGGTTTCCGATAAACAGCAAATTTCGATCGACACGGTCTCTAGTGTTCAGGCAAGTGCAGCATGTTGGCCAATCTGTAGCCAAGACACGCATTGAAGCATGCAAGTCTTAGCGAGGATCGAGGGCTACAAAGGGAAACGGAGGAATTGACGTTGTCCGCTTGGTTGAACATGGACTTGTCGACTGGAGTGGAGCGATAACCTGCAATTGTTTGTGAGTTAAAACTAGAAAACAAGTGGTTATTGAAGTAAGATGGGGGAGGTCCAATAATTGGGGGATTGAAAACAGCGGGATAAAAGTGAAATTGGAGCGGGGTGCTAAAGATGAAAAAGTGCAGCATGAAGAATAAGAAGAAGGAAAGGCCTGAGCAGTAGCATCAAAACCCCTATCCACACTGATCGAAGCGGCATATAGGGCGCCGTTGACTATCCTCTGCGACCGCCAGAGCATCAATAGATTGCTAGAAGGAAAAGTCGTGTTGTTTTCCGTGGGCAGGATACTATCAGTTTGCCCAGGCCTAGACAGGAGAACGATTAGGGTTCTCAAGCAAAGTCTTTAGTTCAAAAACCTTACGGTAAAGCAACGGGGTTTGGACAGTGGGCTAGAGAGAGTCCGTTTTATGGACTAACGCGCCACTCTCACTCGAACCCCCAAGCTGGAGGGCAAAGAGACTGAGTTTTTCTGGTCTCTAACCACTGGTCAATCTGGTATGGGTGGCTCTGAATGTGCAAAAAGCACCACCCAGCATAGGTCAAGGGATCACTGAGGCACGTAAAGCGTCGCACCACGACAAGGTCCAGTCTCGTCGCGATGGAAAATGTCTAAAGGTATTACAAGACTCACAAATGTAATATGCTATCGGCAATGTGAACTGAACTGATTAGTGCTGAAAGATATATCCAACAAAGTTTTAAACTGCTGCGCTGATTTGGCCACCACATGCTTTGGCAGACTGTTCGTAACACTTAGCACCCTCCGCTCGATGTGGG